TGGTTGGTGATGGTGGTGGTGGTGGTGGTGGTGGTGGTGGTGGTGGGATGATGGTGGTGGTGGTGGTGATGGTGATGATGGTGGTGGTGGTGGTGGTGATGGTGGTGGTGGTGGTGGTGATGATGGTGTGGTGGTGGTGGTGGTGGTGCTGGTGGTGGTAATGGTGGTGGTGGTGGTGGTGGTGGTGTGGTGGTGGTGGTGATGGTGGTGGTGGTAGGTGGTCGTGGTGGTGGTGGTGGTGGTGATGGTGATGGTGGTGGTGATGGTGGTGGTGGTGGTGGTGGTGATGGTGGTGGTGGTGGTGGTGGTGGTGGTGATGATGGTGGTGGTGGTGGTGTGATGCTGGTGGTGATGATGCTGGTGGTGGTGGTGGTGATGGTGGTGGTGGTGGTGGTGGTGGTGATGATGGTGGTGGTGGTGGTGATGGTGATGATGGTGGTGGTGGGGTGATGGTGGTGGTGGTGGTGGTGGTGATGATGGTGGTGGTGGGTGATGGTGGTGGTGGTGGTGCTGGTGGTGGTAATGGTGGTGGTGGTGGTGGTGGTGTGGTGGTGGTGGTGGTGGGTGGTGGTGGTGGTGGTGATGGTGGTGGGTAAGGTGGTCGGTGGTGGTGGTGGTGGTGATGGTGATGGTGGTGGTGATGGTGGTGGTGGTGGTGGTGATGGTGGTGGTGGTGGGTGGTGGTGATGATGGTGGTGGTGGTGGTGATGATGCTGGTGGTGATGATGCTGGTGGTGATGGTGGTGATGGTGGTGGTGGTGGTAATGGTGGTCGGTGGTGGTGGTGGTGGTGGTGGGTGATGGTGGTGGTGGTGGTGGTGATGATGCTGGTGGTGATGGTGGTAAGGTGGTAATGGTGGTTGTGGTGTCGGTGGTGGTGGTGATAAGGTGGTTGTGGTGGTCGGTGGTGGTGGTGGTCGTGGTGGTGATGGTGATGGTGGTGGTGGTGGTGGTGATGATGCTGGTGGTGATGGTGGTGGTGGTGGTGGTGGTGGTTGTGGTGGTCGTGGTGGTGGTGATGGTGGTGGTGGTGGTGGTGGTGGTGGTGGTGATGGTGGTGGTGGCGGTGGTGGTGGTGGTGGTGGTGGTGATGGTGGTGGTGGTAATGGTGGTAATGGTGGTTGTGGTGGTCGGTGGTGGTGGTAATGGTGGTTGTGGTGGTCGTGGTGGTGGTGGTGGTGCTATTTACAGTAGTGGCGCTGGTGGTAGTATTAGTGGTTATAGCTCTGGTTGAGTGATAGTAGTGGTAGTGTTAATATTGTTGGTGGTGGTATTAGTAGCAATAATAATAACAGTAGTAGTAGTAGTAGTAGTAGTATCACGAGAGGGACGAGGGCACAGGTGGGAAGCAACAGGTGTGGTCAGGGAGGAGTACCTGTGTTACATAACATTAACACACGTGGTTCACCGGCATCTACTACTCCTGAACAAGCCCGACTAACTTAATCTCACCTGACCTATATAATTCTCACCTATTCTAACCTAACCTAACCTAACCTAACCTTATCTAACTTAATCGAACCCATTCTAACATTATCTAACTTCACCTATACACACACACACACACACACACACACACACACACACACAATAATAATAATAATAATAATAATAATAATAATAATAACAGTCAAATTACCAGGGAGGGATATAAATGGTATGGTATGGTTAGTTTATAATTATACACTATACAGAAATACAGTTAAGCCTATGTACAGAATCTATAGACAATGTGCGGCCCAGACAAAAGCCCCCTAGGACAAAAGCCCCCTAGGACAAAAGCCCCCTAGGACAAAAGCCCCCTCAGACAAAAGCCCCTCAGTAAAAGTGCAAAATAGGACAGAAGCCCCCTGTCTTTATGTTAAAGAGAAGATCATTAGAAATATTAAAACTATATAGATTTAAATATGAAATTATTATAACTTAAATAATAAGAATATTATAACTCTTTCAATTTTGATATAAAACATTATTAAATATATAGAAAAGAAAAAATACGCCATATTTTACCTTCATGTTCATTCTGCATTTACTGAGGTGACCCTAGGGCCCAGTGAGGTCACTCAATGTCAGGGGAGTAATTACCCCAGTAGACACAACATACGTCATTGAAGATTTAATAAACATTCCTTGAATACTTTATAACTATAATAGAATTCCCGAAGGTTAGGTTAGGTTAGGTTAGGTTAGGTTAGGTTAGGTTAGGTTAGGTTAAAGAAGTGTTCATACACTGTAAGAAAATAAAACAATTATTAGAAACATTTTTATTATTTCTTCTGGGGGACTTTTGTCCTAGGGGGCTTTTGTTCTAGGGGGCTTTTGTCCTAGGGGGCTTTTGTCCTAGTGGGCTTTTGTTCTAGAGGGCTTTTGTTCTAGGGGGCTTTTGTCCTAGGGGGCTTTTGTCCTACACTCAGACAATGAAGAGGCTAATCCTAACTCATTCTAACCTAATCTTCCCGAACTAATTCTAACATAATCTTAACTAATTCTAACATAATCCTAACTTGATTCTAACATAACCCTAACGTAATTCTAACATAACCCTAACTTAAGTCTCACATAATCTTAACTAACTTATTCGCACCTAATTATCTCTAACTCATTCTAATCTGTAAAATTTGTTATCAAGTATCTTTCCTATACCTTAACCTAACCTTAACCTAACCTAACCTAACCCCCCACCACCATTTAGAATTAAGAGTTCATAACATCCAAAAAAAAAAAAGGTATATAATTATTTTTACTCCATAGTTACATCAGAAAATTCCTCTCTTGAATCACGTGTTACGATAATTGTGTAAACGAGTGAGATTATCTATCCATTACATAGTAAGTTTGGCCCTGGTCTATATCACCACCTCTAGAGTGCCCGAAGAAGAGAAGCACATTTAAAAATCCTTGAGAATCCTGCCAGAAGGTTACATTTTTACATAACCTAACCTAACTCTCCCCAACCCACCTGGAGACTGTTTATATAATACCTATACCACCCAAACCTACCAAAGTAAGTCGGTTAATTCTGGTTGGTTAGGTTAGGTTAGGGTGATAATCTTAAGGTGAAATTATCTGGAATGATTATCTTCACGTGATCCAGTTTAAGAGGGTCAAAAAAATGAAGGAGGTATGGAGGTAAGAAAGGGAGGAAAGGAGGTAGGAAGGAAAGGGGTAGGGGAGGGGAGGAGGTAGGAGGGAAAGGGGTAGGGGAGGGGAGGAGGTAGGAGGGAAAGGGGTAGGGGAGGGGAGGAGGTAGGAGGAAAGGGGTGGAGGGGAGGGGAGGGAAAAGGGGTAGGGAAGGGAGGAGAGGTGGGAGGGGGAGGAGGTAGGAGGGAAAGGGGTAGGGGAGGGGAGGAGGTAGGAGGGAAAGGGGTAGGGGAGGGGAGGAGGTAGGAGGGAAAGGGGTAGGGAAGGGGAGGAGGTAGGAAGAAAGGGAGGAACATTAGGCCTCTCAAATTATGGTTCAGTTATGCAATGTTATAGCCACAGCATCAGTATATAAGGGAGGTGCAGCAGGTGTTCGGCCCACACAACTGGTCACCCAACAACACCATGAACACCCTCATTGTTCTCCTGGCAGCTGTCGTCTCCCTGGCTGGGTAGGTCAAATGTGTCGTCCACGATAACCCGACAAAATTTACCTTAATTGTTCACCTAGCAGTAAAGTAGGTACCTGTTGTAAGTCGAAAGTTGCAAATTCGTATTCAGGGACAAGTTGTTGAAGCTTCCAATAACTTGATGACATAAACCACTGACTCTTCAGACTTCTACGCCCTTGACTCTTCAGGCTTCTACGCCCTTGACTCTTCAGGCTTCTACGCCCTTGACTCTTCAGGCTTCAACGCCCTTAACTCGTGAGACTTAAGCATGAACTTAGTATGCTTCCCTGTTGGGGGCTGTAAACGCTTCTGCGCTTCACCATACACAAGGATGTAGGAGAGTGCCCAATATATAATAAAAAAAATAATGTCGCTATAACCTGAGGCGGTGATCAAAACGGGGGGGTTATAGAAGGCCAATATGTATAATGTAAGAACAAAGCTACTTAAGTTACCTAAGTTATCCCTTTTAACCCACGACATAAAGATAAGAGTTAAGACAATACCATCAGAATAGTATTGGGACTCTGTAACGGGATGTGTTCTGTCGTCCCCAAGTAGAGATAGCAGCCAATGTGGTGTTCATATTGTACTGAGACTCTTACTGTAATAAGTTGTAATATAAGACTACGGGAAACTATAGGAAAATTAGGTCCCCGAGGAGTGAATACTGTGTGTCTGCGTGTACTTGATTACGTTTAGAAGTTTAAGCTGGTTTGACATTAATTAATAGACTCATAGATTAAGGTATAAATGTTTTCGTAGTACACACACACACACACACACACACACACACACACACACTACTAGACTACTTAATTTTATTTTATTTTAGTCATTTTTTTACTTTTATTTACATATTTTATTTGGTTTTACCTCATTATAAATCTAACTCAAACTATATTAATTTTGCCTAATTTAACCTAACGTTACCCAGCTTGAACTAAGTTAACCAAGCTTAATTTACGCTTATAACTCAACCTAACTTGACAATCCTTAACTTAACTAAACCTCATCTAACCAACCCTAACCTAACTCTAATTCAACCAAACTTAACCTATGGACACAGAAATTACCATATCCTAACTTAACCAAACTTAACCAAATTTAACCTATCCTAACCATGTCCCAACTTAACCAAACTAAAGATAAACCAACTTAACAGAACTCAACTATAAACCCATCCTCATTTAAGTAATTTAACCCATGTTTTAGGTTGCCAGGTTTATTTATTTGTTTTATATAATCACACGAATTTATCTTTCACTGTGGTGGCTCAGGGCCCAAACTGACGCCCCTGAGTGCCACTGTGGTATGTTCATCACTCACTACCACGAGGAGTATGAGGTACACAGGCTGCCACCTTTTGATCTCGACGACTGCAGCGCCTTCAAAAGGTGCAAGAAGAAGTGTGCCCTGGAGGTGAGTGTGTTGACGAGTGTGTTGACGAGTGTTTAAGGAGTGTGTTTAACGAGTGTGTTGACGAGTGTGTTGACGAGTGTTTAAGGAGTGTGTTTAACGAGTGTGTTGACGAGTGTGTTGACGAGTGTTTAAGGAGTGTGTTTAACGAGTGTGTTGACGAGTGTTTAAGGAGTGTGTTTAACGAGTGTGTTGACGAGTGTGTTGACAGTGTGTTGACGAGTGTGTTGACGAGTGTTTAAGGAGTGTGTTTAACGAGTGTGTTGACGAGTGTGTTGACGAGTGTTTAAGGAGTGTGTTTAACGAGTGTGTTGACGAGTGTGTTGACGAGTGTTTAAGGAGTGTGTTTAACGAGTGTGTTGACGAGTGTTTAAGGAGTGTGTTTAACGAGTGTGTTGACGAGTGTGTTGACGAGTGTTTAAGGAGTGAGTTTAACGAGTGTGTTGACGAGTGTGTTGACGAGTGTTTAAGGAGTGTGTTTAACGAGTGTGTTCAGGAGTGTGTTTAACAAGTGTAACAAGTGATACTATGGAGGTGAACGTGTGGACAAAGTGCGTGTGTGTGTGTGATAAAAAGAGCAGTAAGTGGCAGTAAGTGTGTGTGTCTGTCTTTAAACACATGTGTACTTTTGTTCATGTACATAATATATGCTATTGTTCATGTGTACTTTTATTTATATTTACTTTTGTTCATATGTACTTTTTTTGGCGGCCGGTTACAGTACGATACCTACACCAACGGAGGAGATCTGAACTACCGCCTAGACAATGGCTACACCGTGGGCCAGGAGATATGTATACAGATGGCCCAGAAACACAATGTTGGTGATCTTTGGGATGAGACTGTGAGTAATCTCTCTATCCACAGTGTACCAAACTCTATCTATCTATCTATCCATGTTTTTAGCCTCTTAAGCCGGCATACCGACCATTATACCACTTTTAGCTGGTATAGTTGTAATAAAAATTTCAACCCGGTTTTTAATGCCCCATCCTAGTTTATCACACCAATATACCGGTACCAATATCTACCGGTTTACGAGGGTTATAAATTTTAACCTGAGACACCCTAACGCTCGCCTATCCTACCCTAATCTAACCTAGCCTGTGACCTCAGGTAGCATTAAGGTGTTTAAATTATCCGGTGAAATAAACTGGGGGCTAATCTTCACGTGATCCAAAAGATTTATATATATATATATATATATATATATATATATATATATATATATATATATATATATATATATATATATATATATATATATATATATATATATATTAATTCTTATTTTCACCACTCATTTCAGTTAATTAATCTTACATACCATTTTCTATCGTCTCAGGTGTACGGCTACGCCCGCCAGTGCAACGGTCCCTGGGATTATGACGGTGAGTCCAGCATCAACAACCTGTGCTGTAGTCGCGGCCACTTCGTTAAGTGCGAAGAGTGACCCTTATAGCCTACACCTACCCTAGACCACAACGTTCCTTGCCGCAAGCGACTCCAACCTATTGTACACACCTCTTAACTTTATGTGACATCACTCAATAAATAGCTGAAAAATTTTCTACTTGCTATTTTCTGTTTCAAATCATCTTTTTTGGGGGAGGTAACACGTGAAATGCAGTGTGCAGTGGCGGAGTGGATACAACACTCGCCTCTTGGGTACCTAATTAACTTAACAGTTGGGAAAAGTTAAGACAGCCGAGTACTGTGTCGGAAAATATTAAATCTACAGCAATGACCCCCAACCTGTTATCCGCGGGCGTCATGGCGTCCACGGAGCCATTTTATGTAGCCATAAGGGCTCCTTGGGAAGTAATGTAAAATTCTTGATTTTATACTAGTTTCCATTTTAAAATAGGAGTTTGAAAGTAAAATTGAGATTGTATGTACAGTAACAGTCGTGCCATTGTCAGAAAACATGGTCAATTGTAGGAATTAAAAGATCAATTATAAGAAAAGTGCATATACTTCAGTATGTAATTTGATAATAGACTGACGTGGACACTGCTCAACTGACTGTATTTGTTCGTATGGTTTTGGCTGATAACGGTGTAAAGGAAGTTTTGGGGACTCATCCTCTTCAAGGAAAAGCACTGGGTGAAGATATTTATCAAAGTGTCAAGAGTTGTGTAGGCGATGGTCTACAGTGCCCTGCCCAGCCTTATAGCCAGTCGTCGTCGCCTTACGGGTCACATACTTCCATTTTCGCTCCCACACAGCACATGAAACATACAATATAGTAGACTGTTATTGTTACCTTGCTGAAGATGTCAGTATATTTTCATCTGATTGGTGAATTTTTCGACCCTCAATACAAATAATGGAGGCGCCGGTGGGTAGAGCGGTACCGCTCTTGCCTCGCAAGCGAGATGTCACGGGTTCAATTCCCGGGCCGGTGGGAAGTTGTTTGGACACACTTCCCAGCCTCCCATGGTCCCTGTTCACTTAGCAGTAAAGTAGGTACCTGCTGTAAATCGAAAGTTGCGAATTCGTATTCAGGGAAAGTTGTTGGAGCTTCCAATAACTTGCTTAGACATAAACCATTGACTCTTCAGGCTTCTACGCCATTGACTCTTCAGGCTTCTACGCCTTTAACTCGTGAGACATAAAGGCAAGCATGAACCTAGCATGCTTCCCTGTTGGGCGCTGTAAATGCTTCTGTGCTTTACCTTACACAAGGATGTAGGGAGCTGCCCAATAAATAAATAAAAAAAAATCACTTCGTGATTGGTGGATCGCCACCCACTTCTGGTCAGTTAATGTTTACCACACCTCCTGTACAGTAGGTTTTACATATTACTTGTAACTCAATAGATTTTAAATATCTTTATGTGTTTCATAGTCTGGCTAAAAAATAGAATCACCTGAAGAGGAGACACGCCAGCATCATCCACCTAATGATTAAACAACCTAATGCTACCTGGAGAGGTTAGATTAGGTTAGGTAAACTATAGGGTGTTTTATTTAGCAGTGGTGGGCAAATTACTAAATATCTGTAGTCGAGTAAAAGTAGAATTAATTGTCGAAAATAGTAATTGAGTAGTAGTAAAATTACTGACCTACAAAAAGAATCGAGTAAAAGTAAAAGTGACTGATGTTTGAAAAGTAATTAAAAGCATAAAGTAAAAAGTACTTATCTTGATTGATTACTTATTGCTTTTCAAAGTTTGTTTTTAATAAAATACCATAAATATGAATAACTGGTAATTTAATAACACTTTCTGAATCCAATGACAGTAGAAACAAATAATAAGTGGAATCTGAAGTTTAAATGAGATCTTAAAGGTACAAGGGAAAAAATTAGTATGTTCTGAGCTTATGTACAGAACTGAGAAGACAAAACAACAAAATTCCTCGCCACACAACCACAAAGCTACCATCTTCTAGTCCAAGGTATTTTTAGTCTATTGTGGTCTTTCCTTGGTTAAATCAATTTACTGTTTACCATTATTTGTATACTTACACTTCCTCTTTCTCTCTCTATCTATCTATATATTTACGTATCAATTTAAGCATACGACAACTTAAGTGTCTATCTCTCTATCTATGTCCGTATCTAATTTGTCTATTTTTCTATAAATCTGTCTCTCTAACTTTCTATCTACCTCTCTATCCACTGTTGTATCTATCTGTAGGACAAGACGTACGACCTCATAAAAGGTTCAACAATTTCTCAACACTTGGACCTCCACAACACCGAGTCCACTGAACCCGAGCAGACACGTATGAATCCAAAACCAAACTCCTGAACCCCTGAATCAACAAACGGGGCCGTATTTTTCATTAATTAAATCTAATGTGTCTAATAATTTATTATAATTATATTAAATAATACATTTATCCACATCCACTTGACAGATATGGCTATTGTAATTCTTGGATAAATTAACTACCAATGCCTCGGCCAAAGGTTTAATGTATTTTATAATAATAATTATAAGTAATATAACTACAGTATAATGAATAATGACTTTAATCAGAGTTTATGTCTTAATAATTCCGCTGTATTATCTCCGTCACAAGTTTGGTAATGAGGTGTTAGTAACGTCACCATCCAAGCTTATAACATTTGCAAGCTTAAGAGGTCGTCAACTTGGAGAACTAGTAGTTTAAAAAGAATGAGGTAAGTCGAGTTTCGCGAAACAAACTTGTTATTTGTGTTTTCCAGAGAAAATAATATTAACTCACCCGTCGTCGTCAATTATACTTTAAATAATATCAATTATTAAATAACTAAAATAGTGGAAAAAAATAATACTTGAATAATAAATTACATAAAAGTTGAAATTCACCACAACCGACTAGGAATAAAAAAAATGTAGTTGTGAGAAATCTGCCAGACGTCAGCCCGACGGTCGAGTGTATATGGCGGTATAGAAAACGAGTGACCCGCCCACAACTTACGTAATGTTACAAGTATTCTACGAACATCACCAACGAATCATTTATTACACCTGTGAAACAAAATTTGAAAATAAAAATCCACTAAAGTTAACTATTATAAGATGACTACGTTAAATAAAGTTTAAAATATTTACTTTACCTTAAAGAAACGATTAATGATTATGTTCGTGGTGTATAACGTAGAAGCGAAGTAAGAGAAAGAAAACGTTATCTGTGTAGGTGATCCATGTACGCATTGAAATTCCCCGATCGACATGAGGGATATGAAACCCTTCCACATGAAATCAGAAATGTGTTGAAGAACTGGGTGTTCACGAAGACTTAGCGGTAATTCTCAAGCATGACTCAACGTGACCGAGCGCCTAAAGCGGCTGACGAGCTGACGAAGAGGATAAAAGTAAAGTAAAAGTAAAGAAATCGAATGGATCTGGTGGTGCCATTAAGACAATCCTGCTGCCCCGAAACGATGGATGGTAGCAGGACCTGAGCAGGCCAAGATTCTCACTGAGTTGGAGGAACTTTATCCCTCGTCTGATCAACCCTCCCAAAGTCACAAGCAGGGACATTCAACTCAGGAAAAGTTCCATAAAGTTATATAACAAGTTAGATTAGGTAGAAGACAATAATATAGCACGTTATACAAGCAGAAATAATATTGTACATTATATAAAGCATGGAAGTACTGTATCACATTTGCAAGGTAGTAGCCTAATATTACACTTTATATAAAGTATAAGAGTAGGCCTACTATATAACGTTATATAAGGTATAAGACCAGTATATTACGTTATATAAAGCATAAAACACCTGGTGATTCACACGCACTGGAGGGAGATTAGTTACTAGTATCTGTATATATACTGTATACATATGAGAGGTAACTGAGACTCCTCCATCCACATAACACATAATGTACATGAGCACCGTCTTACTTACCACCCTGGCTGCCCTCGCCTGGTGAGTATATCATCCTCCTCGTCACGTCAAGATGCGCACGTTTGGGATATAAGAACACATTAAGCAGTGCTGTATTACGTTGTCTGTGATAAAAGTTGATGAAGATGGCATCAAGTCTACACGTGAGACCCTACTGTAACTACATTCCGATCTGTTATAGATAAATGTTTTCGTACTAACCTTTGAGAATTCGAGTTTTGGAACCGTCTTATCAAACGTGTGCACGTTGAATTTTCCTTGTAACTGGATACATGTGAATGGGCCTGACTCACGTAGCATAAAAAATCTTAAAATAGCATCAAAATTACGTTGAGACTAGTTAAATACGTTCGCTTAGCACCAGTTTGAAGACAACGTTAACGTACAAGATTTTGGTGAACTCAGGTCAGTTTGGATTCCATTAGGTGACCTCACACCTGTTTATACTGATATAGTTCTTATTATGAAGTTATATCAGGGGTTCAAAAGTGACACGACCATAACACTATGCTCCTCTACACGATCATAACACTATGCTCCTCTGCACGGTCATAACACTATGCTCCTCTACACGGTCATAACACTATGCTCCTCTGCACGGTCATAACACTATGCTCCTCTACACGGTCATAACACTATGCTCCTCTGCACGGTCATAACACTATGCTCCTCTACACGGTCATAACACAAGGCTCCTCTACACGGTCATAACACAAGGCTCCTCTACACGGTCATAACACAAGGCTCCTCTGCACGGTCATAACACTAGGCTCCTCTACACGGTCATAACACAAGGCTCCTCTACACGGTCATAACACAAGGCTCCTCTACACGGTCATAACACAAGGCTCCTCTACACGGTCATAACACAAGGCTCCTCTACACGGTCATAACACTAAGGCTCCTCTACACGGTCATAACACAAGGCTCCTCTACACGGTCATAACACAAGGCTCCTCTACACGGTCATAACACAAGGCTCCTCTACACGGTCATAACACAAGGCTCCTCTACACGTCATTCACACGGTCATAACACAAGGCTCCTCTACGGTCATAACACAAGGCTCCTCTACACGGTCATAACCCTATGTTCCTCTACACGGTCATAACACAAGGCTCCTCTACATAACTCTACACGGTCATAACACTATGCTCCCACACAGGGGTCATAACACAAGGCTCCTCTACAGGGTCATAACACAAGGCTCCTCTACACGGGCTACACACACACGGCTCCTCTACAGGGTCATAACCCTATGTTCCTCTACACGGTCATAACACAAGGCTCCTCTACACGGTCATAACACTATGCTCCTCTACACGGTCATAAGGGCTCCTCTACACGGTCATAACACAAGGCTCATCTAGAGGGTCATAACCCTATGTTCCTCTACACGGTCATAACACAAGGCTCCTCTACACGGTCATAACACAGGCCCTCTACACGGTCATAACACAAGGCTCCTCACGGTCATAACACAAGGGTCATAACACAAGGCTCCTCTACACGGTCATAACACAAGCTCCCTCTACACGGTCATAACACAGGCTCCTCTACACGGTCATAACCCTATGTTCGGTCATAACACAGGCTCCTCTACACGGTCATAACACTAGGCTCCTCTACACGGTCATACGGTCATAACACAAGGCTCCTCTCACACGGTCATAACACAAGGCTCCTCTACACGGTCATAACACAAGGCTCCTCTACACGGGTCACCAAAACTGTTCCTCTACACGGTCATAACACAAGGGCTCCTCTACACGGTCATAACACAAGGCTCCTCTACACGGTCATAACACAAGGCTCCTCTACACGGTCATAACACAAGGCTCCTCTACACGGTCATAACACAAGGCTCCTCTACACGGTCATAACACAAGGCTCCTCTACACGGTCATAACACAAGGCTCCTCTACGTGGTCTAAACACTAAGGTCTCTTCTTCCACCAGGGCCCAGGATGCACCAGAATGCCACTGTGGAATGTTCATCACAGCTTTCCATAATGAGTACTTGGTTCACTTGCTCCCACCGTTTGACCTGGACGACTGCAGTGCCATGGAAGCGTGTAATTCAAAGTGCAATGATGAAGTAAGTACATATACTCTTCACCTTACTTTATAGTACAGTACTAGCAATCTTCCACCTAACAAAATTTCACTGGTCAAATTCCCAACACAACGCAATCACATTAGATGCAGCTGCCTTAAGTCATATTTCCCCATTAGCTTATTAGGTGCGGTGAGATTTTTTCCTGGAACCATTTCATACAACAGTGCGAAGAAAAAAATATATATCAAATTTGTTTGTTTTCATCCTATTAGCCAGTCAGGTTAGGTCTGCTTTCCTAACAGTTTAGCTAAGTTTAAGTGGTATAATTATATCCTACAGCCTATTACTGTGTTTACAAAAATCCACCAGTTCAAGCTTTTATCCAGCCTTAATATATTGTTACATCAAATTAGATATAATATCCCTCTTACATCACTTTGCTACGCAGATAACTAACTACCGCACAGTTCGTGTAGTAGTTTCCATCAATGTCTACACTGTTCAAGGGTCTTAAGTACTATGGGATCCATTTTCACTTTCAAGTTAGCTTTGGTGGCAATTTGATTTTCAGCTTGCAAAATTCTAATATTAAATGTGCATATTATGGTATTATATCCACCAGAGTACTATGTTGTGTGTATCTAAGTTATGTTAGGTTAAGTTTTTTATCTCCACTGTCCACAGTTCGATGCGCTAACAGGTGGGGGCTACCTCAACTACTCACTCAATAACGGCTTCACGGTGGGTCAGGAGCTCTGCCTCACCATGCTCACCGAATACGACATTGACCATGTCGAGGAAGAAACCGTGAGTCCACTACTATAAGAACCAGACTTAAAGATAATTTAAAATTGTCCACGTAAATGGGAACGTAAACATGTATTTAACTAGCGAGCATAGTGGTACTGATTAAGAGAGAGATTAAATTAAACTTAATGACCAACGTTAAAGATATATACCACGAACAGTACCGGGAAAATTAATGTTCTATTTTAGGCGATGCAAACCAACAAAATCTATACAGTACTGAGTCATCCAAAAACAATCCTAAGAATCTAAGATCGTTTATATTAGGTTAGGTTCGAGCCATCTGATTTCAAGCATTGGTGAAAAAACCAAAGTTTGTCAGCATGAAGTAGATTAAAAGTTTATTTTATCAATTGTCCCCTAGTGATTTTCTTGTGATGACTGCTCAAAGAATGTAAACACGTTGGGAAATGCCCGTCATATAGGCTGATAGGCTGTGACGTCATTCATCAAAAGCAGACGACACGAGCCAACCAAACTTTTATAAGTTTGATTATTAGGCTGTTAAGTGAGATTGGCTTATATAGTCTATCTTGGAAAATGACATCAGCCGCTCTAACCTTTCATGTGGCTGACAGGTGCTCTTTAGTTGCATGGCAAATACTGTATACTATGAGCTTGTACGGGTATCGATGTATTAATGTTGTCTAGCACTCAGGATGGATGGAAACTCTAATGTGGTTTTCTTGTATAATATATATAAGTTATATGAGAGACAGTCTGGTGCTGGAGATGCCGTCTGGTGAGGGGCTGCTCAGTAGAAGACGTTCGGTGAGTAGCGTGTTGTATGAGGTAGATGTGCAGGAGTTTCGTTAGAGATGTTGCCTGTTGCTGGCCTCCTGATTGAATGAATGCTGGACAGCTAGGAGCTTGCTGGAGGAGATGTTGCTTGTTCAGGAAAATGGGCAGAATGAGAGTTGGTTGGTGAGGAAGCTCAGAGAAGGACATGCTCGCTGGCGGGAGCGAGGACTGCCAGGCAGGCGAGGAGATGCGAGGGCTGCCAGGCAGCGGCTGAGGAGGAGGTGTTGCTTGTTCAAGAAGAATGGTCGGAATGAATCTCAATGGAGAGACAGAGCTTATATACCCAGCAGCCGCTATGAGTCATGTTGGGAAAACCCGAGAAGTCGCCGGCCTTTTGGCTCGGTTGCTAGGATACGGCGGGCATTGGAATGCGGATACGCTTGGTTGCTAGGGAAGACGGTAGCAGGTGGTGTGCAGCTACGCAGTTTGTAGGGGAGACGTCCACTACAAGCTACTACCTAAAGGGAAGTTTTTTTTTAATCAGTTGATTACTCAAATAATCTTACCTCAACCAACTCCCGCCGTCTGCCAAAATTGTTTGTCTTAAAGTTATTCAATTATCGAAATTACAACTTTTGGATACATTCAACAAGATGAAAACAGCCGAATAGTGTAAGCGACTTCAGCAGACCAGCCCCACCATCACATTTTCAAGTCTATTGGCAGGGTGCGTGACAGCGTGCCGCGTCCTTTCTAATCCTACTTTTTTTTATTATTTATTGGCCACTCCCCTACATCCTTGTGTAAGGTGAAGCGCAGAAGCGTTTACAGCGCCCAACAGGGAAGCATGCTAAGTTCATGCTTGCCTTTATGTCTCACGAGTTAAGGGCGTAGAAGTCTGAAGAGTCAAGGGCGTAGAAGCCTGAAGAGTCAAGGGCGTAGAAGCCTGAAGAGTCAAGGGCGTAGAAGCCTGAAGAGTCAAGGGCGTAGAAGCCTGAAGAGTCAAGGGCGTAGAAGCCGTAGAAGCCTGAAGAGTCAAGGGCGTAGAAGCCTGAAGAGTCAAGGGCGTAGAAGCCTGAAGAGTCAAGGGCGTAGAAGCCTGAAGAGTCAAGGGCGTAGAAGCCTGAAGAGTCAAGGGCGTAGAAGCCTGAAGAGTCAAGGGCATAGAAGCCTGAAGAGTCAAGGGCGTAGAAGCCTGAAGAGTCAGTGGTTTATGTCATGAAGTTATTGGAAGCTCCAATAACTTTCCCTGAATACGAATTCGCAATTTTCGATTTACACCAGGTACCTACTTTACTGCTAGGTGAACAGGGACTAATGGGGGCTAGGAAGTAAGTCCAAACAACTTCCACCGGCCCGGGACGATCTAATCCTACTGTCCTACACTCTGTTTAAGGGAAAATTAAAAAAAATATATATGGAAAAGTCTATAGTTTTATATAATGGATGATATCTCTCCTATTTTCTCAAATATTTATTGCATTAAGTTCCTTTTTTTTTTTTTTTAGAACTTACGATCGTTGTTGCAAAATATCGACAATCCTGTACGGTACATTTCTGGCCAAAGAACTTTAAACCCATTTACTTCTCGAGCAACACATGTTTCAAACCAAATCATACTGTATATGTAACCAATATTACTATAAGGTTAAATTAGGTTCGGCTGGTCTGCTTTCATTAAAAAAGTCTGTTCCCGGATTTCTCTTTAAGGTTGTGTGGTTGGGTAGCACCAGGGTTTTTTAATCTTGCTCATCAATCGAGTTGTTATTGTAGCTTCAATCTAAATATAATATTCGTAGTGAGCTTCATGATAGAACTGAATGTGAGTTGAGGATATGAACAAAAGTGTGTGGATATTCCTATCGCTTCCCACACTACTGTACTTTTAAGCTGCTCTCCACTATCACTTCCCCACTTTGGAGCTTCTGTGTAATTTTATTTACCCAACACGAAACTGGAAGAAGAGTAAAGATAATAAACGTATTGATACTGTGCAGAGTTTTAAAGGGATTAACGCTATAATTTTGTCTACAGGTGTATGGCTACGCCCGCCAGTGTAACGGCCCCTGGGACTATGACGGTGGATCCACCTTCGACCAGTTGTGCTGCTGGGAGGGCCGATATTATGAGTGTTAGCCGTGAACCAGCCATTGCCTAGCTCACCTGGTCTTTACCCATCTCTCTCAGCCATTACCAGGTCACACACTTCTTATCTAACTCACCCAGACCGACACCAGCAACAAGTTTGTAGTGGACGTCTCCCCTACAACTGCGTAGCCACAGCCACCACCTGCTACCGCCTTCCCTAGCAACCAACCAGATGTTACCGTAACTTAGCAACGAAACTAGTCACCGGCGACTTCTCGGGTTTTCCCAACATGACTCATAGCGGCTGCTGGGTATATAAGCTCTGTCTCTCCATTGAGATTCATTCTGACCATTCTTCTTGAACAAGCAACACCTCCTCCTCAGCCGCTGCCTGGCTGCCTTCGCTTCTCCTCGCCTGCCTGGCGGCCCTCGCTCCCGCCAGCGAGCATGGCGACCCACCAGCTGTCCTTCTCTGAGCTTCCTCACCAACCAACTCTCATTCTGCCCATCTTCCTGAACAAGCAACACCTCCTCCAGCAAGCTCCACGCTGTCAGCATTCATTCAACCAGGAGGCCACCAACAGGCAACATCTTCTCTAACGAAGCTCCGGCACATCTACCTCCTTCAACACGCTACTCACCGAACGTCTCTACTGAGCAGCTCCTCACCACACGGCACCTCCAGCACCAGACTGTCTCTCATATAACTTATATTATACAAGAAAACCACATTAGAGTTTCCTTCCATCCTGAGTGCTAGACAACATTAATATTTCGATACCCCTACAAGTTGTACTGCTGCTACGGCCGATACAGTCAATAATTTAATTATAAGATCTAGTCCATCCTTCTCTTTGTCATTACCTAACCCTTAAGTGGCTAACAGGCCAATCAGAGGCGAAGACGAGAAAGTAAAGTGACCGACCGCCCAAGCAGCTAACAGGCCAATCAGTGACGAAGCTAAAGTAGTAGATGTACAGGCACAGGGCATTAAGTAAGCAATGATATGAGATGTGCTGGGTAGGGTGCGAACCAACGACCATTAGGAAATTATGTGAGTACATTATCCACTCAGCCACTGCAATACCTTATGAGCTTTGATACAAGAGAGGATGCAACTAACCTTCCTGCGTTTGAGGACAGACGGTTCGACACAGCACTGACCCACATTGTGTTCACAGAAGAGGGTATTAGAAATAAACTGTCCAGGCTAAAGGTCCATAAGAGTCCTGGACCTGACATGGTGCATCCTAGAGTGCTAAGGGAGCTGTGCAACGAGCTTGCAGAGCCCCTGAAGATTCTGTTTTGTAAATGCCTGGATGAACAAATGGTCCCCAGTGAATGGAAAGTGGCTTATGTGAGTCCTATCTTCAAGAAGGGCGATAGTCACTCCACGAACAACTATAGACCGGTGAGCCTGACCAGCATAATATGTAAAGTACTTGAGAGTATTATCAGAGATGCAGCGATGGAACATCTACTACGAAACAACCTTGTAAAAGATTGCCAACACGGTTTTATGCCGGGGCGCTCTTGCTTGACACAATTGCTCAAGGTATTGGATATTTGGACCCATATTCTAGAACGGGGTGGTAATATCGACAATATTTACCTAGATTTTGCCAAGGCTTTCGACAGTGTACCCCACGAAAGGCTGAAAATCAAACTGGAAGGGTACGGAATTCGGGGAAATGTCCTAGCGTGGATAGAAGACTTTCTACATGACCGCAAGCAATGTGTGGTGATTAATGGCACGAAATCGTCATCTGTACCTGTAACAAGTGGGGTACCACAGGGCAGTGTATTGGGCCCGCTGTTGTTTGTTTGTTTCATAAATGATATGCCTGACGTTGTGCACTCCTCCATACAAATGTTTGCCGATGACGCCAAGTTATTTCAGGAAATTAAGAACCAAGCGGTCTGTGAAGAGCTGCAGAAGGACCTCTGTGGGCTCCAGGAATGGTCGAAGGAATGGCTGCTGAGATTCAATGTCACGATGTGTAAGAGGATGCACCTGGGGCGTACCAACGGTAAGGAGGCGTACCTTATGTCCCAACGGGATGAAGAAAATGTACTAGTCGAGACTGTGTGTGAGAAGGACCTAGGTGTGTATGTTGACAATGAGCTGAAGTTCTCGGGCCATTGTGAGAAGAAGGTAAATCAGGCAAATAAATTATTGGGTCTTATAAGAAGGTCGTTCAGATATCTAGACGGTCCATCCCTCGTGACGATCTTCAGGAGTGAAGTGCTTCCCCATCTGGAGTACTGTCACCCCATCTGGTCCCCGAGATATGCTAGGGACTGTCAGTTGGTTGAAAATGTTCAAAGGAGGGCCACCAAACTGGTGCCTGCACTTCGGCACCTCAGCTACCCTGAGAGATTGGAGCGCCTGAACTTGCCTAGCTTATACTACAGACGGGCAAGGGGGGACCTAGTTGAGGTTTATAAGCATCTCAGGGGGCACTACTCAGTTGAGTGTCCTTACTTGGAGCTGGCGGACGCTCGCCCACAGCTCAAGAAGGCAAGTCCAGAAAACCGTGAGGGCAAACTTTTTCGGAGTGAGGGTTGTAAACTCTTGGAGAGAGTGTTGTGACGGCACCGCTCTTTCAAGAGAAGAGACCAACACTGGAGCGGGTTCAGGACATTCAGGAGCCGGTGCATGCCCAGTATTTGCCAACAGTGCGTGACAGAGACGTGACCGATCGCCCGGGCGGCTAGCGAGCCGATCTTTTGGTGAAGAATATAAAGGAAAGAGACGTGACCGATCGCCCAAGCGGCTAACAAGCCGATCAGTGGCGAAGAGGATAAAAAAAAAAAAAATCACTTCCCTTCGTTTTCTATGCTAGTGTTGTGGAGGGGCGGGAGAGCAAGCGACCTCTGGCTGATGTAAACACCACCATTGTCATGACTGATTGTCTCTTGTAAACTGCTGTATTACCCCTATAAGAGGCGGTCCTTCAGTCAAAATGGAAGAAAAGGACAAAGATCCGATAGCCCTGCATGTCATCGTTGTGGGATTTCACCACAAGAAGGGAATGCAGGTAAAATCGATAATTTATATGAGTGCTCCTTTGATGGGGAAATAATAGAATGATATAATATGGTCGACCGAATTACATTTTTACAATTGATGTTGTTCATTCTTTGTATTTGATGTGATTCACTGTATATAGAGATGTAAGGTAACTGGTCATCATAATAACCAGGGCTGTGCACAAAATAGATTTGTATTTCCAGCTGTCACATATTGTATGCACTTTGAGATGTAAGTTGTTGCAGTTGACATCATTCGCAACAAATATAACTAGTTGTGTAGGAATATTGGATCATTATAAGGTAATTCTGCACTTGAGGAGTCTTGTATACCTAAATCACCTATTTTCAACAAATATTGTATTGAAGACACTTTTTCCTTACTTAAAGAAATATGCATATATAGTAGGGTATATACAGTATAAGGTTGAAGAATTACAAATTTTCATATTTTTGTTTTTCCATCCCATTCATTCATTAAACACAATTTTTCTGCTTGATCTGTTGTTAATGTACAAATTCCCTCAGTTACAGAATACTTTCAGTGATCTTTCATACATTAGACATGGCTTACTTTAGGGAAATTTTGGTAAAGTTGGAGCAGACGGTTAGCACCAGAAATAATTTACAGAATTGTACCAAAATTCCTGTACATACTACTCTATTTGTACGATACTGAACACAAAAATGGAAACAAGAATGCACAGAACCTGGCCTGACCAAGATAAACAAAGAAACCTACCTAACCTTCCCTAAATTCCTAGCCAGGACCCCTTGACACATGAGGCCATGAGGCTGAAAAAACTTACTTTAATACAGTATCTGGTACCAATGAAAGCAACAATCATGAAGCAGCATGGTGTAATTTAAATTTTTTTGTAGACCAATCAATTGTTGCACTGAAACATATTTCTTCTTCACTGTCATTTCTCTGCCACATTTTGAACATTTGCACAGCTTGCCAACTTGTTAATATTGACAGATGAACTCTTGGAGACGGTCTTCATCCTCCACAAGCATTGATAACTTGTGATACGATACTGAACACAACGTGATAAAGACGCCATTGAAAAGTAATATAGCTGTCCCTCAGTCCTCCTCCATAAAGAAGAACAATAAGTATACGAACATACAGTTCACTTATTAGCCAGTGCTACTCATAAGGTATTGGAAATAAATAAAATCACATAATATGGATTTTGATCCCAACAATATGAGTTTTTATCATTTATAAATAGAATAGGTTTAAGAACCTATTGCATGAAAATATGTATGTTTATATATATATATATATATATATATATATATATATATATATATATATATATATATATATATATATATATATATATATATATATATATATATATATATATATATATATATATATATGTATATATATAGTATATAGTATATATATATAGTCACCAGAAGGAGGAAGGCTAAGATGGCGGTCCAAGGTGCCTGCACCATTTTCATTTTTAACAACAACTAGTGAAAACTTTAAGTGAGAAGTTACAATTCTTCTTCCCATTTCATTCTATTCAGGAGGTAAGAAACAAGTTTCCTACCTTAGAGATTTTTTTTAGGTGGCTTGTTCCCGTGAGTCTGACGTCTAAAATATTACCCAAGAGCCTACATTATATACGGCATTATGTGATCTATACGAGATAAGATGATCCTACCTAACTAAATGATGATGCAATATATTTAATTTAGGTTAGGATATGCAAGTTAAGTTGATTCATCTTACCTCTGATAAATCGTCTAATGTAGCAGTTTCTGGAAGCTTTCATTTAATGTACTGCCCTCTTGATAGGATTAAGAAATCACTGATATTCTGAACAGCTTCTAAATGATTCCCACTTTCTTGAAGTAACACCAAAGTGAATGAGTCACAGAAGCTTCCTGAGTAACTACTTTAACATACTTCTTACTATGATACAGTACAGTGATCCCTCGGTTAATGAAATTTCGGTTAACGAATTACTTTCCATAAGAATCTTCAATTCAGTTAACGAACAAAAATTCGATTAACGAAATTCTTACGAAAACATGTCAACATGTTTTGGCTTGCTCATCAGCTGGTAGGTTAGTCTGCCAATATAGTAATCGGTTCTAAGGCTTACATTCTTTCCCATTGGAGTAAATATCAAGAAGGTTGTGCTATTCAATATTTTTCCAAGTTTTACATTAAAATTATTAGTCATTTTAACACTTATTTAACATAATTGCAGTACAGAGAACTAGTTTTTCGTTTGCCCATCAGCCACTTCACTCACCCACCAAGGCGTCTGTTTGTGTCTCTGTTCAGTGGAGGAAACATCTTGCTTTTGGCTCTCTTGAACACAGAGCATTTTTACGTTTTTGCAGTACAATTATTGGTCATTCTGAAATTTATTTAACATATTGGTAATATATAGTGCAGTGCAGTGTTGATTTAAAGAGAATAATCTTGAATTACACCTAGTGAACTTAAAATTTTATGGGTGAAATGACGGCATCAAGCATGGGTCCTCTGCAAGGTGATTTCTCCTCCACCCCCACTTCCTTCTCTTCTCCCTTCTCTTCTCCCTTCTCCTCCACCCCCACTTTTAATTCCCATCATCATCATCATCAACCAGGAGCCTTCTCCATACATACCTCAAAGTAAGTGTACTTTACTGCATTTTTTTTTACTTTGTATGTAATTTTCGGTGATCTGGAACCAATTACCCAATATCCCATTGAAACAATGGTTTCGGTTATCAAAATTTTTGGTTAACGAACGACCTTCTGGAACGAATTGTGTTCGTTAACTGAGGGACCACTGTATAGTATGTTGATATAACAATACATATATAGGACAGGTGTCCCTCATTTAACTGGTTGCATTCCTGAACCTAAGGTAAAGCAAAATTATCAATAAACGAAGGATAACAGCAAAGCACGGAGGGCAAATAACAGGCCCAAATGGCAGGGCGGTGAACATGAGTGCTGTACTGTACTGTACTGTACTCCCTAATAATAATAATAAACGAGTTCATTATAAATAGTTTCAGAGTTAAATGATTTATTTTTAACATCAAACTTCTATATAAACTGTAGTTCAGAGTTACTATATAAACAGTGTGGTTCAGAGTTAAACGCTATAGTGAGCACAAGGTTAGCCTAATTCGAACAAATTTAAAATTGCATATAGGTATAAAAAATGAACAAAACTTGCTTTGATAAACAATAAAATTGATACATAGCATATCATAAAATACAATAGCATACAGGAGTTATATATCGTGGACTGCTTTCACCAAGCTTGCCAGAAATTTGGAACAACGAACAGCCAGGAAAAAACACAGTGATGAGGCAGGATATAGAGGAGTCTTCCTCAATTGCCATACTGTGTTGCAGTACATCCTTGAGACAATTATAACCATTTCACAAACCTCAGCTCCACCATCTCGAACAGCATCTCATTTAAATGTGAACTTAAAGTACATAATGGCAAGGCCAGATTAACAGAGTCTGGTCAAATGACAAACTAACTCTGCACACAACAGTTCAAGTGTACAAAGTGTGTGTACTTATCACACTGCTATATGTTAGTGAGACCTGGAACTTACACTTGCAAAAAAAAGAAACTGGACCACTTCCATATGCACTACCTGAGGTGCATTTTCAACATCATCTGGCAGGACAACATAGCAAACGATCAGGTGCTGCAAAAGGGTAAGCTCCTCAGCATGTACCATAATTATACTCTGCGTAAGCAGTGATGACTGATGTTGGCTTGGGCAAATTCAAAGGATAGATGATAGACGAGTCCCCAAAGACATACTGTGTGTGCAACTAGCTGCAGGCACCAGACCAGTTGGATGTCATGAACTGTGTTACAAAGACCTCTGCAAGCAAGACCTTAATGACATTAACATCAACCAAAGCATCTGGGAAGAACTCTCACAAGACCAGAGCTGTTGGAAGTGAGAACTGTGCGAGGGACTCCAGAGGTTCAAGCCGAAATTAACCTAGCAGAGCAAAGACAAGAGAGTTCATTGGAAGAACAGAGAATGGACCTCTTAGGTTGGAAGCACATTTATTATGACAATTGCAGAAGAGACTGACACTCCTTTATAGGACTACACAGCCTCATAAAAAAATGTAGCGTGATGTAGGATGCTACCCTCCATAGTCTCCTAAAGACTGAAGGATGCCTTCTACTTATTTGTCAAGTTGTGATACACTAAATCCATGGCTATAATCATTATTTACACCCTACAGGTGGAGTATGCATACCCTCCACTGAGTGACAGTGATGGGTGTGAACTGCCTGACCTGTGGCGCCACCTGCCTTCTCTCTGTCTACCAGATGGGGCTCATAACCATGAGGCAGACACTGTCTTCTTCCATCTGCCTCACCTCACAAAGTCTGATCAGACTGTGTTTGGTGTGTCATGTTATCGGCAAATTGATGCAGAGGTAAAGTTATATAGAGTACACTGTACTGTATACTTAATGCATCTTCATTGTTACTGACTAACACTCCTCTTGACTTATGTACTCTACTAGATTTTGTTTGCCTTATATATATGATACAGTACGGTAAAATATTAAGTTTAAGTGAGATAAACTAGTTATACTGTCATCCTCTCTGAGTGATGCTCTTGTTGATGTCCCAGATATGTTAGATATTTTTTTCTTGGGGAAAAATTTTTTATCTTGAAAATAAAAAAAAATGACTGTACTGTAATTGCACAGGATTAATTTAGTGTTTAATTTATATCTACAGAAAGTGACAAATAAGAGTGCAGACATCACACGGAACACTGTACAAAAATCTGTTTGTGTGCTGAGTACACTTCCAATATACGGCTACATTCAGGTAATAATTCTCAGTTTTGTGGTGTGTGAGTTCATCTTTTTTCATTGTTAGGTGTTGATTGACAACAATGTTAGGTATTTGCTTCCAAGTTTATGCATTGTTCTCTAATAATATAAACATTTACATTTTTATATATCAAGCAGGATATATGAGTTTGTTTATTCACTCTAAATTGGCTGATTATTATACATGAGATGTAAATACGTACCTGTAGCGTCTGGGTGACTGCCCCTAGCCAGTACTACTGTAGTCTACAGTTGTTGAAGTGAGCATTGAAAGTATCCTTGAATTATCACAACTTCACTCTACCTAAGTTTACAACTTGGGGAGGTGAATGTGGTCAAGTGCAGTACCGGCTTTGCTACCTCCTTGTGTACTGAAGGCTTACTAAGCAGTGTACTACTGTATATCTACACTCTCTAACAGGCAGTCATGTCTATGGGCTCACATTCACCCTTCTCAGGAGCCCCTTGCATATAACTTATAACATTATGCATGTGGGATTTTTTATTAATGGTCCAGTTGTCAGGAAGAGAACTTTGATGTTAAGTGAGGATTGCCTGTACACCTTCAGTCTACAGGCCTACAGCAGAATGATTGTGTAATTAATAGCATATCCATACAATTGCGGCTGACTGTAATTTTTTTACAGGAACGTCTTCAAGTTACAACAAAAGTATACTTTAAGGGAGCAGACTTTTCTGACGTCCAGGACCTGAAGGGCCTTTACCATGATCTTAACACTACAAACTGGCGGGACAAGCTCGCTCATGGTGAGACTTTTGCTTTTTAGTCTAGATTAGAACCCATTACTTCAAGAGAGAGAGGGACACTTGCTTATAAGAGTTTCTGCACAGGGTTATCTTGCTGTACACAGGTAAGTGACCACAGTGCAGTGTAAAGATAATGATAAATATTGGAATTCTACAAAATATTGAATGGCAGGACAGTTACAGTTCATCCCCCACATTTCGGACATTTAGGTTATGGAAATTTGCCCGTATTGAAATTATAAACTATGACAACTAAGTTCGAGATAGTGAAAAAAAAATGGGCCCTGGTGGAAATAAAACAATATTTTCAAAAATTTTAACACTAAAATTAATAAAAAGAAAAAATCTAAATGAAGTTTGGTGAAGACTTCATAATGCCTTTGTTTACCATCAAGAGTGCCAGTCTTGTATACAACTGCAATAGTGTGTAGCATGAGATCACTATTCTCAATGGTCCTAAACCTCCTTTTGTCATATGATCTTTGAATTCATATTGGTTTACCATTTTGTGGGCTGTCTGGTTGTGTTGGCAATATATAGAGTCTTAACCCTTAAGCCCCAGGTTAGGGTGCTGGTGGCAGTAACCAGCGGGGGTAAATTGAGAGACATCAACTTTTCCAAAGATAATTTTTAACCTTTAAAAATGATAACACAATAAAAAATAAGTAAGAAAACTATATATTGACCGTCTAGAAACTTCCCTGGGCACGCATAGGGAGGGAGGGGGAGAGATAAGGAGATAGTGTTGGTTTGACAGCTGACGCTCGTGGTCCCTCTGCAACTAATTTTAGCTCGCCTTTGTGTCCAAGGTGGCCAATAATAAATATAATTACTGATCTTAATACTTATTTGCTATAAGTAATTAATTTAGAATATTTTATTTGCATTATTTTTCATAAAAAGTGTTTGGCAACACTCACCAGTCGGTCGCCAGTCTGCCTGGCTGTCTTTGTGTTTGGTAGAGCAAGTAATGCATAAAATAATAATAATTCCACAAATAAATATATTTATAACATAATCATAGCTTTGTTTTACAGTAATACTACACTACAATACAGCTACACTACTTTTAGCAATATTACTTTGATACATGATAAAATAGACAAACAATCAAAATGAAACAAACAAAAGAAGGTAATTATGTACAGGAAGCTTCCCTGTGGCCGAGCGTGTGGTGTGACAGGTAAATAGTCACACTGGAACCTGATAACCCGCGCTGGGCATTTAAACAGTGGCGGGAATAGGCGGACGTTCTGGAACGTCACCCGGGGCACGCTGGTTGGACGTTCTGGAACGTCACCCGGGGCCTAAGGGTTAAATGGGTTTAACAGGGATTCTTTCAATCTTTTCTTTGAGTATTTGCTGCCATGCATTTCTGGTGAATTAAATACTGGGTAATTTTATTTATATTTCTGGGTGTATTACCGGTATCATTATATTACAGTATATCAATAAATGTTAATTTTTTATATTTAGTCTGTTTAAATGGTTTATTTTAATTTGTTACTATTATTCCTTATTGCTGAAAAATATTCTGTAGGAACACATTTCCATTTACAGGTTGGGTATCCTTTATCTGAAATGCTTGGGGCCTTAAGAGTCTCGGATTTGGATATTTTTGGATTTTGGAATTCCCATATCCTGTATACAGAACCTGTATAATGCAGTAGATCACCCAGCAGGGATGGGGCCCAAGTCTATGCACAAAATTCATTTATATTTAATTTACAGCATATGAATACATATATTCTGCAGGTAGTTTTATGAAATATAGTTTAATAATTTGGGTTATAAAATATATATATGATATGATGTACACTTAAGACACAGAAAGTTAAACAATCACTACCGTCCGTTTGGCATCACCATGATGCTTGACTCTGAGGCTTTTAACAGCCTGTGTCTTATCTTTATTCTTTACACATATTCATACCCGGTACTTACTCTCGTGAAAATTATGATATATGCCATATTCAGTGTATTATCTACCATAAATATAATGAAACAGACTTTCGGATTTCAGGGCATTTCGGACTTGGGAATTTCGGATAAGGATACCCAACTTTTACTTAATGGGTTACAGTTGTAATACTGCCTTTTTTTCTCTTTTTTTTCCCACGTTATGGACAAATTTATCAAGAATGTCACCCCCTCTATAATGCAGGGGATGCCTGTACAGTATTATTATTTTGGATTTACAGATATTGCTCATTTTAGTATTTATCTCCATATTAGAGTTAATTTTAGAAACAGTATGTGGTGTTTTTCCTTGTACAGGTATTTATATAACTAATAAAGTACAGTATTGTATAACTTTACAGTACAGTATTCCTCTCACACATATTTGAAATTAGCTGTATTTTTTGCTAGTTGATCATGAGGACAAGTATGGTAAGAAATTTCTCCCAACTGGATGTATTGCATGGCCATGATGCTCTTCTTAATTATGTTAGAATGTTACTCGACACCAAAAATCTGTAATTTTTGTACAGCATATAAAACGTTCTTCTTTGAGACTCGTGACCTGAATGTTTATTGGATTAAGGCACTGCAGCTGTGGATGCAATGTGGTGTAGTCTAGACGTATGTTGGGTTAACATGCGCTGCTTGATCCTTGTTCACTTTTCCATCCATCGGTCTTTGCCTACTACGTATATCATTTCTAGTTGGTTTTTGTTCACTTTGGCATCTGTTAATTGGTTCTTGATCACTATGAAATCTATTGATTGGTTCATGCTCATCATGATGGCCTCTTATTGCTTATTGTTTACTGTGACACCTGTTAGCTTCTCTACCATTGCTTTCTTCCTATACTTTATTCGCTTAACCCACACCTAAATCTGACCCCAGTTTAATCTACATAACCTAACTTGAACCTGACCAAACCAGTTGGTGTGTGGGACACTGGCAGATACCATGATGGGTCAGGACAGTCAGCACATGTCCAACTTGTATACAGGTATTCCTCAGTTAACATGCATTCGCAAAACAAAATTTCATTATTACACTATTCAACAATTAGGGATCATCTGTTTCCAGTTCTGCCCCAACTACCTGTCACCTCACATGTATACCATATTGACTCACTAAACTTTGCTGTTCATTCTTGATTTACCAGTGGTACCCCTTACAATCATGAGTGCTAAGTGAACATTAAGTGACTTGAGTACTTCTGTGACCAAAAAGCAAAGGAAATCTATCTTGTTAAATGTCATGATAAAAGTAATTAATCTGGATGAACTATAAGAACAGTATGAGGAGGTAGCTAGTCACATGCTGACTGTCAAACGATTGTTAAAACCATGCAGCCACTCTCCATACCAAGACACCAACCACACATGCTACCACACATACACAGCCATGTACAGAGCAGCTTTAACGACGAACACCTGTATAGTATTTGGGAATATTCCTTCTAAAAGTAAGCAAACAAATAAGCATTGCATATGATCCCAAAATCCTGATATAACTTAGTAGTACATTATACACCTGTAAAGGCATGTGAGTACAGTACAGTATATGTCATTGTGTCTGTAAATATTTACCTGTAAAAACTTAACATATTCATTCCCTGTGATAATTTTCAAGTCTCAAAATCTTTCATAATTCTTCATTAGATTTTAGTCATCATGGTTCTTTATAATAAAACTTTTCAGTCTGTTAGTTTTGGTGGTAGTTTTTGTTTAAGCACATTATGTTGTTTGATTGTAATATACTCTATAGGGTATCCATAAACTATCTGACCCATTTTAAAACTTAATAACCCCAAGCAACAAATGGTGTACGTGTGGAAATTTACCAAGACAAGAAAAATCACGTACAAGTTTTTTGTCAAGTACTGTACAGTATAATAAAACCATTGTGTTATACACTATCTAAAAAATATTTGAGGTTAAGTTTTAAAATGGGAGAGATTATTTAAGGATACCCTGCATCATAAACGTATACAGTACGGTGGATACTCACTAGTTGAGCACCTTTGGCACTGAGCACTTACTGAAGTAAGGAATATTCCAAATGAAAGAAACAAATTAAAAATTTATGTAGAGATTAATTACCTGAAGTTTACAATAGAAAAAAAATCACCTGAAAGATAACGTTTGACAGTAAGTTTAAAATAAAATTGAATGAATACAGTATCTTACTAAAAGCATTTGTGAAATTCATAGTGATTGACTTAGTACAGTACATTCATTCCTGTATAAAATGATATACAGTACTGAAGAAGAATATTAGTCCAATCTGATGCAATGTTACTGTACGTACTTGTATTTCCACTTTTTTATATAATAATTGGCATAATCTGTGCTCTCTTTACTCCACAAGCTTCTCTTTTCATGCCAGTGGACCTTTGACACTCATTTGGCACCACTGTAAAGGCAAAAAAAGACAAGAAAACAAACACCTGTACTGTAACAATGAAGTGGTGGTTGGCACGATCAAAGTGTAAACAATGATGGTGTGGAGGTGTCAACATACATTAGTGACTGGCAAAATTTGTAGATATGGAATTTCTAAGTATTTCTATTCTGTATTATTTATTTTTTAAGTAGTACCGGATTATGGGAATTTTGAGATGCAGTACCATGTCATAAAAAACTGGATTGTTGAGCTTCCACTTCATAGTACAGTACAGTATAGTCTGGATTTACGCGGTTTTTGTTTACATGTTTGGTCATTTACACGGTGCCTTGGCAGAATGAAATGTTTTAATTACGCGGTAAATTTCATCATTTACGCGGGAAGCGGCGCGGGCAGGGTGCGCACAATGTCGCCCAGTCATCAAAACATTACCGAGTTCTTCACCTGCCACCCACCACAGCCGGCCCAAGTCAGTGATAGTGATAGTAATAATGAGGATATGGACTTTGAGGGGTTTGACAAAGAGGCCCTGCAAGCCTCTGTGGTGGATAGTGATACAAGTGATACAGGTGAGGGCCAATAATCTGCCCTCTGCCTCGGAACCAACCCCCCCATCTCCGTGTGCCCAGCCATCTTTTCTACTAACGAAAGTGTTAAAAAACCTAATATTATTGATATTTCTCTTAAATATAAATTGTGTGCATACCATCATAAAATTAAGATGTTATTTTTACTACAACGTACGTATTGTGTGGGAAAAAGTGGAGTTTGGGAGTCGGCCCAGTCTCTATTTCAATTAATCCCATATGTTCTGTTATTTCGTTTACACGTTTCTCGTTTTACGCGGACCTCCACGGGTTCAATTGACCGCATAAATGCAGACTATACTGTACAGTATAGCAGAAGCTACATGTTGGTATATTTAGTCAACACTTACATTTTGAGACTGGTCATTCTAAAGGTTTTACTCGCCACATTGGCAACAATGTTTTTGTGATTTAGATGGATAGGAAATAGTACACAGTAAACTTTGGCATGTATACTCATTAACTTATTCTAAACAACGTAAAATAAATTTTCCTTGCATGAATAATATTGTCCAAGGCTGTTTAGTTATTTGGCATAGCATGCAGTTAATGTCCTCTTGATCTCGTGCACTGCATTGAACATTGAAATGTGAATTGACGTATATTACTCAAGGTTATTTATTTTCCTAAAAAAATTCATGTTGGTGCACTGTGTCAGTAGCTCTTTGTTTCCAAGGTAGAACACAGACAATTCCTTTTCATTTATTTGGGCTTAAGAATGTAAAAATTCTAATTTTTCATAACATACCTTGGGTTGTGAGGAGGTGATGCAGTGCTAAAGCCAAAGTACAGCATGTTCACTTTTGTTTTAAGTCAAAATATTATCACAATTAAATAACATTATAGAATAAACTAAGTACAGGTAGATAGCTGTCTTAAGGCCCTTTTGTAGGGAGGGAACACCACAGCAAAACACATCTGTTACAGCTGTATCATAGTGGGAAAAGGTTGCAAGAGTGAAAAAGATGCACACATACAGTCTTTTGGAGTGATGTGTAGTGTGTGTGTGATATCAATAAACAAGGGGTTGGTAAGTGGCATCCTCAGAGTGAGCCACAACTCCTCATAAACTTGTGATGATCACACATAGTAACCCACAGTAGATCTGACCAAAATTGGTACTCCAATAATCTGTAATATCCTTATCTTTACAATTTTTGCCGGAATAGTCTGAATGGATCAATGTTACATCATTATGAGGCTGAATAAAATCGTCTGGCGGTAGCCAGAATAAAATGGCAAATGCGTGACACGCGGTGAAAGGGTTAAACAACATCTTCCCTCTCTGACAAGGGTCTTCTTGAAGGGATTGTTCTTTCAAGCGGTATTTTTAATTGCTCGAACCTCTTCCCCTTCGTGTAGGACAAAGTATTGTAGGTCTGGTTATACTGTCCACTTCACTGATGCATTATAGGTCGTCTTTTCGCTGATGCATTATGGGTCGTCTTACTCGTGTGTGTTTGTTTACCTTCGTTGGCGCTAAAATTAAGAGTACTGCGCTCTCATCATGGACATTTTTTCCTCCCAATCATCAAGGGCAATTCCTATATTGCAGAGAGAACATGATTTATTCGTCCATTTGATTGGGGAGGAAAAGATTTACAAATGAAAATACTTGTGGAAAGCTTGTTGCATGGTTGCAAACAGCAACAAGTTTCAATACTGAGGGATATGGCCCTTAGCAACCAGAAAAACATTTAAAAAGATTTGGGAACGCATTAAAATAAAGTAAGTTAAAAAAATGTATTTCGTTGCGAAGTAGGTTACAGTAAAGAGGGTGCAGATGACTACAACCTCTGAGACAACTTACTTAATTCAGGTATATGGGAAGTAGAGACTTCTTATTTGGCTCCCAGACAGAAATTCGCTTAAAAAAAATGCTCAAAGTTGTATTAAGTAACTTAAATGTACTTACTTTATTAATATATGCTACAAAAAGTTTTGTGACGATTTTCTCTTGGTGAAATTTGCCTTGATCCATTTTAATATTTCTAGGTAAGAACCTCGCCAGTTTATATTTTCCAGACAAAAACTCACTTATAAAACTGTTAAAAAAAATTAATAAATTACCTTAAATGTGCTTACCTGATTAGTACCAGCGTTAGTAAGATGAGATGACTCCAGCAGCTTGCATTTGGCAATAACAGGAAGCACAGCCTTTGCAAATGTCATTATATGACAGGAAACACAGCTTTTGCAAGTGTCATAATATGGGCCGTAAAACCAATAATGTAAAAAAAAATTATTTACTGTATAAAATTACCAATGCCGTACGTGTTTCTTTGTACATTAATCGTATTGACTATAAATATTCTATAAAACTAACAAAATAATTATGAGGAGGGTTACTAAAAGCAGCTACTAGCTACCTCTTCAATTTTCAGTAATATTAGTTTAGTTTTCCCGCCACCACACTCCTTCGTGCTCTGCGGTAAAAGGTCCTTCGCATTTAAAATTTCGGTTTTCGACACGAGGACCCTCTTCAAGGGAAGATGTTGTTTAATAATACAGGCATAAGTAAACAACCACCTGTACAGTACCTGTAATTATCTTTAAAAAAAATTTAAGAGTTTTTCCTCCAAAAAGTACAAATGTGCCAAAATAAGTCCAAATTATTCAGATTTCTAGTTCAGTGAAGTGATGTTTATGGGGGCTTACTTTATTCACCTAAATATTTCTGTCTGCTTGTTTATAATATTTAGTCCTTCCCTCAATTATGAGGGATGGATCATGGGGTACAGAAACATCAAAGAATGGTGGAAATGATAGGATGTAAGAAAGATGAAGAAAGCAACAAGAAGGTGATAAGACAACAAGTAGAAATATTTCACTGTTTATACATTTACCTGCTCAGTACTTATTATCTCTGCAGTTCTTTATTTCTATTTGGTACGTAATTTTTTCTGCTTGCATACTGACCAACAGGAGTGTTCGTATCTGATGCTGTAAGAGTGTTTGGTCGTAATATCCTGGTGTTGTTCAAGATGATCCTGTTGGAGCGTCGTGTACTCTTCTACCACAGCCCTGTTGGTCCTCTGGTGCGCACCATCACCTCCCTCATGGCACTTCTCCCAGACAACTTTCCCAATGGGTTGGCTCATGCAGCTTCATTAAGGTTCGTGGAAATTATTAGACATCGGTATTTTTCTTTTGATATGAGGCAATTAAGATGCTGCAGAATTTACTCTGTATGAAATTTTAATTTGATTTGAATTTTGTGAGTCTGTGTAGTACATTATTTGTTACTTAGTTACAACTACGTACCTATGTTCTCCAGGTGTTTTGTAATTTTTTATATTGTTGTAGTTAAGACAGACAATTCTAGGTATACTGTACTGTAAATACTGGTATCAAATTTTTATTACATTGAAATGTACTATGGTATTGTAACTGATTATTTTAAGTATATGCTTATATGTTTTCCAGATATTTAGTATATGCACCAGCTGCTGTGTACACCATTTGGCCACAGATTCATTCACTCATGCACTGATGGCAATTTTTTTTTTTAATAGACTTCTGTAATCTATCATACCCACTTCATTTGACCTTAGAGTACAGTATTAGATTTAACTAAATTTTGCTTTATCAGCAGATCTATTCTGATTTGATAACTGACAAACAATGTCACTCATACGTTCATAAAGAAAAGTATATTTCTTTGCTCGTATACCACAACATTACCAAGTAACCAGTACTGTACAGTACATAATTATATTTGGTTTTAATACAAAACAAGTTGTAAAATCTTCCATATACTGTGCTGTTCTGCCTTACACCAGACAGCTGGCGCATTAACAGGAGTTACTTGACAGAGAGTTTAAAGCCAGAAAATAGGTTTTCATGATTGATATTCCAAGTCTCAAACTTTATCCTACAGTTTTTTAACTTAACTTGGTGATTCATTTATCTGTGTGGTATTTGATTAAATCTGATGTCCATTTTGGCCAAAATGGCTGCCATCTTGGATTATTTGAGTACAGTATTAAGATTAAGCTCAGGAATCCATTCAGCAGCAGGTTACCATGACACCAGTTGTGTACTCTTGTTAAAGCAATTTAATACATATTGAGCAAGCTTTATGCTTACTGATAAAGTGATCTGGCTGCTGATTGGCTGGATTTCCATATCATTGGGAACCCTTTTAATGAGTAAATTTTGATGTACAATAACTCCATAAATATGTTCTTCTCCCAAACACTAAAAGATTCTTTGTCTTAGTTACATATTTTCCTATATCTAATGTGGTCAGTCTGGCACCCAATTACAGTAGTGTATTTAAGGTACACAAGATCAAGTCAATGGATTTTAGTGGAACCTAAAATAGTGACTCGCTGTTTTAACTTTAATATCTTTTTCTTACTTCTTACTTAAGGTACCAGGTAGTCGTGTGCCTGTCACTGGGTCCAACATCTTCCTAACTCATATGTTGGTCTGAGTTCCTCTCCTCCTCAGTTGATATAAATTGGGAATAATGTATATTTTTAAGAGTTTCTTCCATCCTATCCTTCCATGTTTTTTCTTGGGCTTCCTTTTGGTCTTGTTCTTTGTTCTATCATCATCCAACTTGTTTTTACTATTCTGTCCTCATCCATTCTCTCCAAATAATCCAACCTTTGTAACTGTGATTTATCTGTCCACTACAATCTTTTATTTGATTTTTTATATCTAACGTTTCTTCATATTTGGTTTGCCATTAATCTTAGGTGTCATTTCTATAGCTGGAATTTTAAACCAGTTATTTTTGTCTAATTCCAACTCTTTGCTCCACAGTTAGTATTGGTGTTGACACTATTTCAAAGATGCTCCAATTTGCTAAATTTACCAATCCTTTCAGCTATATTTTAGAAATATCCTCCTCTACTAGTGATTATGGTTCCCAGGTACTAAAGTGTGTTTACTGCCTACATTGTTTAGTGTTGGATGGTGATGTTGACCTTTCCTTTCTTGACTTGTTCTTGTATTTCCCTACAGCTTATGAATAGCAAATGCTTTAGTTTGTATTGATTTACTCTTATTTGTATGCTTAGTGTGTAATTTATAATATATGCCACTACAGTACTAGTCTTTGATCTGTATCTAAGGAAACACCTGGTACTGTGTAGCATCTTCACAATTTTTACTACACTTCTGTCTAAGTTGACAAAATAATCTCTATCGACTTTTCATCAAATCCTTGTTGTGATTTGTTTTTACATAAATCTTGGGTTTTATATATATATATATATATATATATATATATATATATATATATATATATATATATATATATATATATATATATATATATATATATATATATATATATATATATATATATATATATATATATATATATATATATATATATATATATATATATACACAGTAGTACCCCGCTTAACGCGGTCAATAAAACCCACAGGGTACCGTGTTAAGTGAAAACCGCGCTAAGTGAACAACAGAACATATGGGATTAATTCCAATAGAAACTGGCCCGACCCCCAAACTCCACTTTTTGACGACACATAACTATGTTGTAGTAAAAATTTTATCTTAACTTTATGATGGTATGAAAAAACAAGTAATATAGAAGAGGTTAGGTTAGGAAAAATAAAGGTTAAGTTAGGAAAACTAAAAGTTATGTTGAACACTTACGTTAGTAGAAGAGATGGGTCGGCGTACGGGGATGGAGGCTGGTTCCGAGGCAGAGGGCAGGCTACTGGCCCTCAGGTGAGTCACCATCACTGTCACCCACACTTGTTATGGCCTCCCTGACAAATCCCTCAAAGTCATCTTCACTGTCTCTACCTCTGTCACTATCACTGGCTTGGGCTGGCTGTGGTGGGTTGCGGGCGAAGAACTCGGTTATGCTTTTTTGACGGCTGGTGTTTATGTTGTCTTGATACACCTTGATGTACAGCTCCATAGCCTGCACCAGCCGGGTATGGAAGACTTCATAGCGGTCATCGTTATTGTCGCGGGAAAGGAAGGACTTCATTTTCTCTGCACACTCCATGGCACCCTTAATATTACTATGACTTAAACTGTGTTCTTCGGAGAATGACGCACCTTCTTCCTCCTCTTCACTGACGTGATCTTCTTCCAACATCTCGTCAGCAGTCACTTCAGGATCTCTGATCACCTCCAGGATGTCTTCGTTGGTGGTCTCGGAGAAGCCTTCAGCTGTAATATTGAGCGCAGCTTCTCTGGCAAGGTCCACTGCTACTGCAACAGTCTGAACCTCACCAGTCACAGGTTCACTCCTCTTCTCAGCTGGCATGCCATGCAACACATGTCTCCATGCGTGACGAATCGTAGCAATAGACAGCTGATCCCATACCTCCACCAAGAAGTCTACAGCTTGTTTGACGTTAAACTTCTTCCAAAATTGTTTGACGAGAACTTCTTGAGTCGCCACCTCTTGTTCCTTGTCCTCGTCGCTTTTACTCTCGCTGTCGGTGTCACCCAGCTTACGCAACTCATCCTTGGTGTTGGTAGAGTCGTTCAGGAGCTTGAACTTCTTTGCAGAGTACGCAGCTTTCACATTGCAGATCAACTCCTGGTCCATGGGCTGGATTAATGACGTAGTGTTGGGAGGAAGGAAGACCACTTTTACGTTGGGGTGACGATCCATAAGTAGGGGCGAGTGTCCAGGTGCGTTGTCAAGGAGCAACAAAATGTTGAATGGAACATTCTGTTGCTCGCAGAATTTCTTCACGTCAGGAACAAAACAGTCGTCAAACCAGAAGAGGGACAGAGAAGAGGACATCCACGCCTTACGTGCGGTTAGCCAGTGGACATTAAGCTTGTTCATGTCCATATTCTTGTAGGCGTGCGGCTTGCGGGCTGTGTGAATCACCGATAACTTTGGTTTACAGGTACCGGAGGCATTGGTGGTAAACAGGACGGTGATGCGTTCCTTCTGCATCTTCCGGCCCCGAATCTTGCTGGCATTCTTTACAACGAAGGTCTTGGAAGGTAGCTTTTTCCAGAAAAGACCAGATTCGTCCATGTTAAACACCTGGTCGTCGGTGTACTGTCCTTCCTCCATAATCTCACGTAAGAACGGAGGAAAATCTCTAGCCGCCACACGATCAGCACTCGCTTCCTCACCACCAATGTTGATGTTGGTGATCTTGTTCCTCTTCTTAAACCTATGCAGCCAACCAGAGGAAGCATTGAAGGGTTTGGGCTCTGCAATTCCCAGCTTACGTGACACTGCTGCGTATAGCTCACGTGCGTACTCCTGCACTGAGCGCGTGTCCACCGCCATGTTGCGTCGCGCCTGACGAATCAAATAACTCACCAGCAAATTTTCCACTTTTGCCAGCACCCTGTTCTGGCAATACTTGATCATTGAAGCACCTGCAGACTTTGTGATTTTCATGTGCTCTTTGATCTTGGCTGCATCCTTCTTGATAGTGCGAATCGTAGATTCGTTGACGCCATGCTGGCGCGCGAGATCAACTTGCCGTGTTCCTTTCTCCAAATCTTGAATGATCTGGTATTTCACTTCGTAGCTTAGACCACGGCGTGTCTTCTTGGGCTTAGGGCGGCTGGGTCCAGGTAAGGAAAGGTCTCTCTCTGTGGCGGTGGTGGTCCGGCGGAAGCCATTTCACAGAACAATGGATTCACGTATACACGGAGTGGCCTGGAGGGATGAAACTGCCGCGGCTAGGTGAAGCGTCGTCTTCTCCTCCCTCCCTCCCTCCCTCCCCCGGGTGGACACGTCATAATACTTTAAGCCAATTACAGCTAGCAGCAGAGGGGGGTAGGGATGCATGGCCAATCACAGTCCGATACGTCATATGACGTCAGTGATAACGCAACAGAGACATGCACTGCGCAACCTTACCGCGCGCGGCTTGCCCAGGCGGAGGGGGAGCAGGCGGGTGGGGCGAATCTAAAAATAGCGTCTCGAGCCGGACACTCGCCGCGTATACGTGGAAAAAACCCGCGTTAAGTGAAAGTTCGGCTCTGGCGAGGCACCGCGTATACGGTAAATCGCGCTAAGCGAAACCGCGTTAAGCGGGGTATTACTGTGTGTGTATATATATATATATATATATATATATATATATATATATATATATATATATATATATATATATATATATATATATATATATATAT